CCCCGTTTTGGGTCTTTGGAGCCACTTACCTGCCCCCATTGCTTTATGGGCCGAGGTTGACTTTCCAGCTGGGCGTGGCCATGCATTGCACCAGGGGCTTCCTCAGGACTCTGGGGTCCTGTGACAGTTCATTGGGGTTCCACAAAGAGATGGGGAGGCACGGCAGAGCAGCCAAGGGGTAGTGTGCTGCCATTGCTGGGCCGGGTTGTCTGGCTCTGCAGCAGCTCATATGGTGGGGGCTGGGTTCTGTGGCTTTAGGAAACCACTGCGTTACGCAGTTGAGAAAGGACCAGTCCCCTTCCAAACTGCTTGTGTCCTCCCCGAAACAGTAATTCCAAGCTAGGTTTAGATTGAAGCTATGATGTCTGCTTTGGGTGTACTTGTTGAACAGCGTGCACTTTTCCTGCTGCCGTGCACTATTCTGTTCCCCTGCAAAGCCCCCAAGGGTTCTGTCCTCTCCGCTCCTCCCTGTCTACAGGCTGCTGATATTCCAGCTCCGTGGCATGGAGGGTGCTCAGGTGTGCCCTGTCTGGAGCTGACCTAGGCTACAGACCTGCATGAGTGACAGGAATAGTTCGCCATGTGGAATCAGAAACCCCTCAAGGCACTGTCACATGTATCCCTTCACCCCATCTCCAAGGGGGCCGTGGGATGAGCGACAGAACTAGATTGGAGGGGATGCGGACATCCTGCTCCATTATCTAATCTGCCCATCTGGACGCTGTGAATCATGTTTGGTAGCTCACCGGTGTGGGGATTAGCATGTTATCCCTGCTTACAGGCACGCAGCGATATTTATAAACCAGTTAAATTCAGAAATGTCTCTGCAGCTTGGTGAATTGGCCACTGCCAGTGTAGTGGTTTGTGTGGGGCTGTTGGCAGTCCTGAGGTTTTGGCCCCATCACAGTACTGACACTTTGCCTTCAGTCAGTGTGCGCATCAAGGATTTGGTTAAATGGGTTTATGAAGCTGGACTGATGAATGACCCTGTCAGATGTGGGACTGATGTGACTGGGCTTTTATTTTTCAGGCTTAAATGGAACATGCAATAACTCTACTGTACCAACGTTAACTTCAGAAATGCCTGATTATTTATTGTAAGTATATCAGTCGGTCCATCATGCTGAGACTTGCCAATTACCACTCAGTTAGGCTTGCTGATTGTATTAAAGTCTGGAAAGCAAATTAGTTACAGAGGAAAAAGCCAAAACAATGGGTCCAGATTCACAAATGTGTGCCTTAAAACGAGATGTAGAGCAGGTCTTCTCACTATTCCCTGATGCTGGAAGTCAAGGACCTCCTTCTGGGCAGCGGGTGATGACACCTGCCCTTAAAATAACATCTTGTTGTCAAAAGCGCTTGCTGAGCCTTGCCTGGGCCAGAAGGGACTTCAAGGATTAAACACATCCCATGGTATAGACGGCAACAGTGAGAGGGACCAGCATGCTCAGTGCGCAGCAGTGCAGTTGCTTACCACCAGCCCAGCAACACCAGCAGTCCTGAAGGTGTTGGAGATCCTGTGTGCTGGGTGTCCTGGGGAAGTGAAAATCTGCTTTCCCATGTTTTGTTGGGAAGAGCATCGATCTGTAACTTCTTAGTCTTTAGATGTTGCAGGACATTGACTGACAGATACTGAAACCATTGCAGCAAGAGTCTGCTCACCTCGGGGTTCAGAGTGCATGCCACTAGCCCGCTTTCAGTCGCAGTACTGAGTCTGAACCTCTTTGTGGAACTCATGCCAGGTTGAGTGAGGGCAGTCTGTTTTTACCTGCTTTTTCTGTGTGCCCTCTGACTTTTGTGGGAGCAGAGTAGTTAACAATCTAAGGGCATCTATACATCCTCCAGGGTCGAGGGGGTGCTTTAATTAAAGCAGCTCTGAGCCACTCTAATTAAAGCTCCCACAGCGTCGTGTATTCAGCGGCCTGCACTTCAAAATGGTGGCAGGGCTGCTTTAACTAAAGATTGTTCGAGCTTTAGTTAAAGCACCCCCACTGCCACTTTGAAACACAGGGATGCTGAATACATGTGACACGGAGGCTCCCGGAGCGTGCGAATTAGCACGCTCCAGCAGAATCGAGTCTGCTCCAACATATGCTAATTAGCACACATTGGAGCAGAGGTCCGTCACGTGTATCAGTGCCCTAAGTTTTCGTCTTGCTGCGAGTGGAAGAAGGAAGAGATGAGAGAGGGGAAGCCAAGTCAGCTTCCACTTCTAATAAGTGAGCTTTGCCTTGGAAGGCAAATGCCCGAGAGACCCTTGGTTCAGCTTTCTGGCACCATAGTAACCTGGGAAGCTGTCTGGGAAGAGGCCTTCGTATCGACTAACTGATCTCTGTTCCCTTTAGAAAATACGCGGCCATTTCCTGTTTGGAGCAGCGTCAGAGCTACAAGAACGACTTCAACGCAGAGTACAATGAGTACAGAGACTTGCACGCCCGGATAGAAAGGATAACCCGCCGATTCACACAGCTGGACTCGCAGCTAAAGCAGCTTTCGCAGGGCTCGGAAGAATACAAGGTAGAGATGCAAATCGCTGCAGCAGCACTCGGGCTGCCACTTGCAGGGATGCAGTTGCTGTTGCCATTTTGGTAGCAGCTTTGTGGGGTGCTGGAGGGCGGGGATTCTCAGGCGCTGCGTGTGTGTGTGGGATGTGCTGTGGGCAGCCCCAGACTGATGGATGCGCCATGTGCGTGCAGCTGACAGCTTCGCAGGCGGCTTGTCCGAGAACCCAGTACCTTCAGTTTTGAGTCGGAGCACGCATTGCAGTACTTGTTGACAGGGAGCAGCCTCAGTTAGACAACCGGCATCCCCAGCCAAAACCTGCTGGCAGCTATTAGTACATCACCCGAGCCAGAAAAATGATATTCACACATATGGGAGGGTATTGGAGCTGGAAAGGGGCTTAGCATGGGGTCATTTGTTTCTCCTGAAGCTTCCATCTTAATAGCCCAGCATTATTCAACCTGTCAGACTGATTCCAAGAAGCTTTAACTATTCATTACCTTGAGAAAATAAGTTTGCTGAGACTAAAAAGCTATTCTTTACAGGGTCCCCATTGTACTAGGCAGCATTTCCTTCCTGCTCAGATGTCCTTCCTTCCCTTTGAAATGCCCTCGCTTTTCTCTGTTGGTTTATTTTGATGGTCCAAGAAAAACGAGACTTTTCAGTGGAGGAAACAGCAATTTTGCTGTAGATTAAACTCCCTGTGGAGCAGAGATGGGGGCTCTCCTCGCCCCTGAGAAATGACTGGCACATGGGCTTGATCCTTCAGCCTGTAACCCAAGTGACACAGCAAGGCTCTCTCCCACAGCCATGACTGCAGCTGTGAAGTGTAGCAAGGCTGAGGCTTGTGCTCTACATCGCTGGCAGGTGGTTGTGCTGTATTCTGCGCATGTCCCACTCCATCCCCTCTCAAGCTGGTTGCCTTTTTCACCTTTGGCTTTTGCCACCTGGTTATTTTTGCATATATGCAAGTGCACATTTTTACCTATTAAGTTAGCTTTTCTCTACACTTCTGGGGGAAATTTAACTGTCTGCTCGTCGATGAGCACTGTGCTCTGGAAAAGGGATCTTTCTTGCTGTCCTGAGCTCTGGGTATCTGGGATGTGCTGTGCACGACAGTGACTCGTGTTACTGTTTTTGTGGCAGCAGAAGGTAATGGTGTCCTTTCCTTTTCAGACTATTCATGATCAAATTTTACAGGAATACCGGAAAATTAAAAAGGTGAGTATGAATCTCTCAGCCATGGGCTGGGGCTGGGGGTTGTAAGAAATGGACCTCACTTGACAAGCAAGCAAGTCTCAGGTAATTCTCATATGTCAGATTACCAGTGCTAAGCTTTACCTTGGGGTGCATCTGGCCGGGTTTTGGAAGCCCACGCTCCCTCTGCTGTTGCAGTAGTGCTCAGTGGCTCAGTAGTGGATCCATCTCTGAGCCACGTTAGTCAACATTTTGACATGCCTGATTGCTGGTCAAAGCACGCCTGGGTTAAAGTGCCATCAGCATCAGAGGTAGCAAAGGACAATACTGAAGCTTGGAGGTGTGACCTGAGGGCAGGCAGATCCCGCTGGTCTGCGTACCTGTGACTGGAGGTTCCTGGTGGATTTGGATATAATCTGTGCTCAAAATGACTAGTAACAGCTGGTGTGGGCATACAGATCCCCTGCTGAGGATGCTGGCATATGCGTTTTGTGCCCATAATGCCTTGCAGACATGCCAACAGTCCTGGTTGCTGTCCTGGTCACTGTCTAGGGAGGTGAGGTAGAGGCAGGCAGAGCAGGCTGACCTGGGTGTGCTGCCAGTGAAGCTGTGCCATGCTGCACACTAGGGCTCAGGAACATTTTAGGGGAGGAAGAAGAAGAGTAGGAGTCGAGAACCAGGAGTGGGCAGCCAGACTGCGGGGCATGTTGGACTCAGGGCTAGCGACTGCCCCTCCACTGCTTCAGCAAGAGTCATCATCCAGCACTAGCGTGGCAGTCCTGTGAGCGATGCTTACATCCCGGGGTGCTCTGATCCTTTCCCCATCTGCCAAGGAGGGGAGGGTGGGACTGGAGAGTTAATGTCTGTCGTTGCACTTCCCCTCTCCCCCGCAGACGAACCCGAATTACAGTCAGGAGAAGAACCGCTGCGAATACCTCCACAACAAACTGGCTCACATAAAAAAATTGATAGCAGAGTATGACCAACAGCAGTTTTAGTCCTGGCTTTAGGATCTGGACAGGGAAGGGTAAAAACATTGATCTGGACATTACTGCCCGTTCCACAACAAGCCGGGATTCCTTTTGGAGAGGAGCACTAAGGCCTCATAGCTGGAAGAACTTGGGCATGATTTGTGATGGCGAATTGGTCCGAGCCAGGGAGCAGTGCCTGGCGTGGTCCTCTCAAGTTTCCCCTCTCCAAACATTGGAATGTACAAAAGGAAAATCTGCTGTTTTTTTTTTTTTTT